TAGTTAAGATCATAGGAATTTTGCCCCAAATTCTAATATAGAAATTGTGCTGATCTTATCCGGATCAGCAATTAATTTTAAAACTCAATGATTTATCACAAAAAAATCCTAGAAGTATAGCTTCGTATATTTTTTCTTAAACAGTGATATTTTGTTCATGAAATATACATACACAATATAATCGACTCTCAACCCCTTCGGCTATGATTACAGACCTGTGGGTCTGTGATACTATCATAAAAAGAGTAATGTATAGCAATAGAGGCATCCATTTTTTTTAGAACCTATTTTATCAGAAATCACATTTTTATCAGTAATTAAGTCTTCATTCATTATTATATTCCAAAATTTTTACTTCAAGAAAATATTATCTTTTATCTTTCTAAATTAAAACTAAGAATGTTTTATCTGTAAGAGTCGAGCAAAAACTATGTTTTTTTGATGCATTCAATTAAAAATTAACTTTGAACTTTCTATCAAAACACATGACAAAAAGTTCAAAGTTACTGAAACGGAACGTTTCTTTTTGGGTTTAATGAAGCACTCAATCAAGATTGATTAAAAAATATTTTTTATCTGAAAGATCTGAAGTTTCTTTAGATTTTAACTTTGAATTATTGTAATGAGATATTTTATTATATAATTTTGCTGATTATATTTAAGAAGCATTTTCTAAGATAACTAAAAAAAATGCTTTCCATTATGGAGAAAGGTGTGACTGATAGCCTCGTACTTCACAATTAACTTCATACGGACCTGAACTAGCAATCTTATTTATTATTCAACTTTGTCAATCTTCAATGTTTTATGCCAACTGGGTATTTTCTTTGAGATATAATATTAATTGCCTCTAAGTACAAAATTATAGTCTGCACTTTATGGTATGTCATTTTTAAATTTTCACTTCTTGAAAAATGACTTGGGTGATTCTTAATGCAGACAAGAGAGCATTTCAGCTTTAATCAATTCAGACAGGCTGATAAACTAACAGTGCATAAGAAAGTATATAGCATATTAATATCGCCAAGGGAAAACTGTCATCAGGACTTCAAGCTTATCGCTTACCATTTGATTTGTTCAGCATAAAATATAATTAAAAGTCTGAAGACAGGTTTGCTCTTTACAACATTCATATAGATAATTTGTTTACTATGTGTATAATACCTTTTTGCCTATGTTAATAAAGCAATTTAAATATGAAATCTACCAGTGTTAAAATTTTTGCTCAATGGTATTTTGTCATATTCTCTTTTGAATTACTGTACTGTATTTGAATTAATTAAAGCGTGACAAAAAAACTTTTACCATTAGGCCATACAAACTTAATAATTTGGTTTTCATAACATAAAATTTTCAAAAGTGACCTGGCAACCCAGCTTTTAATTTTATTTTCAAAAAAATTTTATATATAAAAAACATAAAATTTTTTATAGATTTTTTTTAAAAAACTTACCCAGATAGTAAATATACATAAAATTTTTTTTAAAAAATTTGTAAGGTTTGACCTGGCCAGTTATGAAAACTAAATTATTAAGTTTGTATGGCCTTATCCTAACCCTACAAGCAATTCCCTTACCCTTACCAAGAGTTAACACATTTATTCATTGGGACTAATGGAGATTAACTCTATTGACATTACTCCATTGATAATAATTTCTGAATGGAAGCCAATCAACTCCATTAACATTGAACCATTTAACCTGTTTTCAATAGATCAAACTATTCTATTCTTCATTGCTTCCATTGGAGCTATTGGCTCAATTTGCTCCATTGGTAATTTTCTCAATGGAGTATATCTATTGTTAACCTTACTCTTACTCTAACATTAAACTAGCCTCTAACTCAAATTTCAAAAAAATCACAATTATAGTAATTTACGTTGTTTTGTTTTTCATAAATCTGGCTAATAGAAAATTTATAATTTATGTGACCAATATGGTAAATTAAGTTGTTTTGATTTTCATTATCTGACCAATAAAAATTTTTAAATTTATAGTAATTATTGTTATACATTGTATAATTTATTTGGAATACGGATTGACATTTAAAAAAATTAATGCATTAGCTTATACATATCTTGATTAACTTTGAAGCTATTTAATAATTTAATAGTCAAAGAAAGCTTACTATCTAAGCTTTCTTCTAAATATTAATTTATTAAGATAGCTTCAAATTTCATCGAGATATGAGCAGTGTTTAAAATTTCTTGTACAAAATGCATATATACAAGTAGTTTTTTTTGTGCAAGAGAAGTTTTAAATAAATATCCACGAGCACAGGTTGAGTTAATGAATAACAGGTACAACAACTGTAATAATGTTAGAATTTCCTTTAGAATTGGTATTTTCTTTAGCCCCTCTCTTTAATCTGCTGCTTATAAAATAATTGCTACCAATATCATCATCTTTGTTTACATATATAAATTCTATATACTTTTCTTTTAACTTATATCAAAATCGTCAAAATCATCAAACTCACTCAACTCAACTACTTCATTTGCAACACAAATAAATTTCAAATTAATTAATTCCCATTTATCTAGAATTTCGTCATCAAACCAATCTTTTGTATTTAACAAGATTTTATGAAATTCGAAATCTTCAGTTAGCTAACAACATGTAATCACTATTCTGGATTATAAAATAATTTCCATTTTGGATCAATAAAGAGCATAACAGATTTTGCTTGCTGTACTTTTGATTTCAATCAAAAGAATAATTGATTATATGCTTTATCTATTTGTTCTTCCATAATTCTTGAAGTAATTTTGTTGATTAATAAATCCCGGTTCAGCTCACTTCACCGACACTCATTTCGTAGAAATAACATTTCACTGACAACAATTCATCGACATGTTATTTAACCTACATTTATTTTCCAGTTCACCAACAGTTTATTTCACTGAAACTTATTTCACCGACAAATTAATTCTGGTCATTGTCGTTAAGGCCAGGTTAGAATTAGAATTAAGGTTAGTGGA